GCCTCCCAAAGTGTTGCGATTACAGGCATGAGCCACCACACCTGGCCCCATGTTAATGTTCAACACTTTGAAATGTGGTTTCCTCCTAAAACTGCCTTCTCAAAATCACAAGAGACCTCCTAGACCCTTTCTCACATTTTTATCTCCTCTGATGCTTTTTGTACATCACTTAAGACAAAAGAACACTCACTGCTTCTTAGAACTCTTCTCCCTCCTTGATTCACAAAAAGATGTGCTCTTTTATTTCCTATAAATAATCACAGCCCTTACCATGCTATTTGTAGCTATTTATTTGTCACTGTTCTGTACTAGACTTAACAATTTCTTGAAGACAGGTGTCGTATCTTTTTTTTTTTTTTTTTGAGATAAGGTCTCACTCCAGTTGCCCAGGCAGGAGTGCAGTCGTGCGATCTCAACTCACTGCAGCCTCAACCTCCCTAGGCTCAGGTGATTCTCCCATCTCAGCCTCCCAAGTAGCTAAGACCACAGGCACATGCCACCATGCCCAGCTAATTTTTTGTATTTTTAGTAGAGACTGGTTGTTGTCCAGGCTGGTCTTAAACTACTGAACTCAAGTAATCCACCTGCCTCAGCCTTCCAAGGTGCTGGGATTACAAGTGTGAGCCACCACGCCCAGCCAGGTGTCATATCTTTATCAGTGTATTCCCACTATATAGCACTGTGATTGCTCAATAAATATTTGTTGAATACATGAATGAATATTGCCATCAGATCAATGCCTAAAAGAGTTCTAGGAATACTGGAGAATGGGAGTGTTGGTTAAAATAACGATGACAGTTGACATTCTAAGGGAAAAGGGCAAGTAAAAGCAGTATGAGGGGCAATGGACTATCAGAAAGCAGCATAATTCATGTATTCACACATTCATTCATCTGACATTTACTATGGGCAAGGCAAATAAGACAACCAAGACGTCGTACCTGTCCTCACAGATCTGTCTTATAATCAAAAGCTGAAGGTTTGGGGTGGAGTGTTAAGAACTGGTAGAAAACAGAAGTAAGATACCATGTCACTAAAGAGTAATTCTAAATCTAATGTTAAAATATAAGGACAGTTTGGAAGACCACAGCCAGCTGCTTCTGGTCTACTCACACCTTTGTGATCTAGGTCTATTAGTAGCAGTTCTCAAACTTCAGTATGCATAAGGAGCACCTGGGGATCTTGTTAAAGATGAAGTCCTGACTCTGTGGATCCCAGAAGTCCTGATTCTGTAGATCCACGAATCTATGTTTTAATAAGCATCACAAATGATTATGATGCTTTTGGTCTGCAGAGCATGCTACTGTAAAGGCCTCAGTCATTCATGTTTTAATTTTGCCATATCTGGGTTCTACCTATAATATGACTTTCTTAATAATTCATTTAATTGCTATATGTGTGTATTTATACACATATGTATCTTAGCCTTATCCTAAGCAAGGTATTTGGTGACTTTTTTGTTTTAATACATGTAAAATAAATACACAACCATTAAAAAGGTCTGTCTCTATTACATCAGCATATGGAAAAGTTTGAAAAGCACTGCTCCAGAGTTTATGCCCTGCAAACATCACATCCTGCATGCAGTCTGATGATATAAATTATATTAAATAACAAAAAGTTCCAGGGCAATGAAGTTCAGCAGAATTGTGCTTCGGAAGAGCTCATTATAAAATAATCCAAAAATATTTTTTAAATGAATGTTCTAATGATTACAAAATGACATTAAGGAAATCCTCCCCATAACATCAAAATATTGACTTTTTATTTTAAAAAGTGCTTTGTCTTTTATTCTGGTACTTAACTCTCAGAATATTCTTGAGCTGACACCGGAGCCAATCCCAATAGCTAAGCGTAGAACTTAACAGCAGTTGGAACAAAATGAAGATATATCTGTGTTCTTGCCCCACAATAAAACACTCATCCATTTTATTTAGAATTACATTTGATTAGGACTGATAATTCAGTTCAAAAGTATAAACTTGATACCTCTTTCTTTTCCTTTAACCCCAAAACAATTTATAATAGTAGGCAAAATTATACAGCAAAAATATCAGGGGAATAATTGTATCTCATGAAGGTCTATTCCTTAAAGGCTCTGGCAACTCACAACCACAAATAGAAAAGACAAAATATTTCACCAAATTAAAGGTTGTGCTGATATTAAGCCTTTAAAAACAATACTCTTCTCTAAATTATGTTTTCTCTTAAATGGCTAAGAAAATCATTTTCTACCAAAATACTCTTGAGTGGATGTCTTTTGTATTGTGTGTCACAAGCCAGTTCTACACTTGTTTAATTTCTGGTCACATTGAACAAAAACAAAAATGAACGACTGTGGTCCTTCATCTCTACATCACTTAAGTCAGCCGGAAATTTACCTTATTACTTACTGATTTATAAAGCACTTTACCCTGTTTACCCTGTTCGGATGACTACTGCAATCGCCTCTCTACTAGTCTCGCCTGCTTCAGCCTTTTCTCTACAGTCTGTTCTCCGCACAGCAGCTTACGATGCCCTGTTTAAAATGTCAGCTCACTCACTCTTACGCTCAAAACTCTGCAGACCTTTTCTCAGAGCAAAAGCCAGCCTTTTAAATGGCACACCAGGCCCTCTAATACACAATCATCCTACAGCCCACAGCATTAAGACTACTGAACGACTGTAATTTTACAATTAAAATGCTGTAATTTAAAAACGGACAAAATGTACTCTTAATGGTATCTATCATCTTTGCTCACTTTTCAAGAATCAAATAATTCTTGATCCTACCCCTCAGCCCCTGTCACAGGACTCTTTCCTTACTCACTTCGCTGCAGTTACAATAGCTTCTTTGCTGTTGATTGCATATACTGGGCATATTCCAGACACACGCTTTGCATTTGCTGTTGCTTTTCTGAGAGTGCTCTTCCCACGTGATTCCATATGGCCCTGCTCTATCATTTCCTTTAGGTCTTTGCTCAAACATCATCTTCCAGGTGTGCCCTTTCATGATCACCTTACGGACAATCCATACTTCCCACCCCCACACATATTTCCTCTCCTCTTTTCCTCTTTTGTAGTCCACCATATCACCTACGATTTGGCATTCTGTATCTACTGTTTATCATTTGTTTACCCCACAAGAGGGTGAACTCCTTCTGGATGAAGATCGTCTATCTGCTTTGTTCACTGCTGTATCCCAGTAACAAGAACAGGTCTAGCACATAGTAGATGTTCAATAAATATTTGCTTAATGAACAATATTACTCCAACTCTAGAACTTTCAGTCTTAACCCTATTAAGAGCTAAAAGGCATCCCCCAATTTCCGGGTGGCATTTGACTTTCGTGAACTTATATGCAGTATCTTTTGTTTGACACATGGTTCCCTCTGATTTTTCTTAGATAGTAGTAAGACGACAGGAAAATTCCTAAACAGTGTGCAAGAAAGATGAAAATCAATCATGCATAACACTGATTTTAGATAATTTCTTATCCATAAACCAATAGAGAAAATGCCTTCTGAATTTGTAGCTTCTCCTCTTAAACCTAAGGAACATAAACTGAATATCTGTTGCCTTTGCCGCGGGGGAGGGGTTGGAAGGGGGCCAGCAGAGACGTGAAAGCCCAGGAGCCCTTCTTCAAGAGCGTCAACTCTTGTGCACTCCAACTTACTTTTTTGAGGGGGTGGGCATCGTTCGAGGTCTCTGCCAGGGGGTGTCTGTTTTTCACCCTTTGAGGTGCCTATTGTGCTGTGTCTTGAGAACGAGGAGAGGTGGGCGAGGAGGGGGTAAGAAGGGATGCTGCGTGCGGCTCCAACTGCCTCCGAACACAAAGTCGGGAGGCAAGGGATCCGCGCGGGTG